CAACGATACCATCAAGTACATTTCCCTCCCCGAGTCTGGGTCCGACCCCGAGGCCAATAGCACCGCCACCGTCGCCGGCTGGGGTCTGCTCAAGTCGACCGACTCGTCCGTGCCGGCCGACCTGCGCAAGGTCTCGGTCCCCGTTGTCTCCCGTGACGATTGCAACACGGCCTACAACAAGAATGACACCCAGATCACCGAGAACATGTTCTGCGCCGGCTCCACGGGCAAGGACTCGTGCCAGGGCGACAGCGGTGGCCCAATCATCAATGACAACAGCACCCTGATTGGTGTCGTGTCTTGGGGCATCGACTGCGCCGCCCCTGGCTATCCTGGTGTCTATACCAACGTTGGCCAGTACATTGACTTTATCAACAACCCAGAATCTGCCTCTGACGACAGCACTGGCAACGATAACAACACTGGCAACGACGAGGAGACTGGTGATGATGAGGAGACCGGCGGCGACGACGAGGAGACTGGCAACGACGAGGAAACCGGCGACGATGAGGAGACTGGCGACGACGAGACCGGCTCTGAGGATGACGAGGAGTCTGGTCACCACGGCTCCCATCACGGTTCCCACCATGGTTCTCACTCTGACGACGAGGAGTCCGACGAATAAACTGAGTGCTGATTGACAGTCAGTCATTCGCACCAGCTGTATTAGTGTACTGGGTCTTGTTTGACTTATGTCTGCTTGGGCTTGCTGGGAAAGCCGGGTTTGGTATCATGTTAATGTCCATAATAGAGTACTTAAATACAATTCTTCACCGAAAACGACTGTGGACTCTAATGTGAATATTGATATATTGTGATAATGCGATACCGAGACTTGAAACTTGGGCTATTCGAGGCGATGCCGCCTGATTCGTGCGGGTTATGCCAGGCTTCTATCGACCTTTCTTTTGAAGGCTCAATTGATAAGCGTGTGAAGTTCGGTTCTGTATCAGCAAGGACCAAATTCAATGCATGATGTGTATTTTGTATGGCTTGACCCGGATTTTCCAAGGCAGGGTCCTCCTTCTTAGGGAGGAGCAACGTCTCACCTCCCACGAGGGACTCCTTCCACTTTTAGAACCAAGAGTCACCAGTCCAAGGGCCTTTTCTCCAGAGAATTGAATGACTGTAGATTGGATCTTCTTTCATCCAGCTTCCCCATTTGTTCCGAATCTCCCACGGCTAACCCCAGCCTTTTCAAGATCCCCAGCTTGGCCCCGCCTCCCACACTGTTGATCACATCATGGATGGGGGTTATTTCCGACACGATCATCGGCTTTACCCCCTCGTATATCGCAGCTCCGAGCAGTTCTTTGGTTTTAAAGTCGGATTCGCGTCGAACCAAGCAAGAGGGAAACGAGCAAAACCTGTCTGTCTCTAATCCAATCATACAATAGCAAATGGTCATGAATGCTTCACGGCTTCTCAGCACGAAAACGGGGATACCGTCTCTGGCAATTCTCGATGACTACCTCTCCATCTCGGCATCTCACTTCAAACACATTCCACAATCGTCGTTGGAAATCAGGACTTTTACAAAGCCTCTACCATGGCAGACAGACGAAGAGCGTGCCCTCTTGGTCAAGGAACTCAAGCCTTTCACGGCTATTTCCACCATGCGAGAGCGCACACCCTTCCCAGGCGCGATCCTCCGCGAGCTGCCAAATCTCAAGCTCCTCCTCTGCACAGGGACGCAGTTCCAAACCTTTGACCTCGCCACCGCCAAGGAATTGGGAATCACCGTCACGGCTGCGCCAGGACGAGGACGAACAGACGTCCCGCCCCCCGAGAAAACAAGAACGAGAAATATTCAAAAGGGGGGTGGTCATCCGGCCACGCATCACACTTGGGCTATGATTCTCGCTCTTGCCCGCAACGTGGCAGAAGATGATACAACGATCAAGGCTGGCGGCTGGCAGACAGGCATGGCAGTTGGGCTCTCGGGGAAGACACTGGGAGTTGTCGGTCTTGGGAGGTTGGGTGCCGCTCGGATTGGGATATTGGCGTTCGGCATGAAGGTCGTATGTTGGAGCGCCAACCTCGACCAGGAAAAGACGGATAGCATGGCGGAGTCTTTGGGTCTACCTAAAGAAGACGAGTTCGGCGATAGAACCTTCCGATGCGTCGACAAGCAGGAGCTGTTCAAGACAGCAGATATTGTCAGCCTGCATTACGTGTTAAGCGAGCGATCATATGGAATTGTGAGCGCTCCCGAATTCGCGCTGATGAAACCGGAATCTTTGCTGGTTAATACGTCTCGTGGCCCGCTGGTTGATGAAGAAGCAGCCCTCGAGGCTGCGACTCGCGGCAAGATCAGAGGTTTGGCGTTGGATGTATTTGATGTTGAGCCTCTACCAGCCAACAGTGCGTGGCGATCCAACAGCTGGGGGAAAGAAGGAAGGAGCCGAGTGCTGCTCACACCGCACATGGGATATGTGGAGGAGGGAATTATGAACACTTGGTATGAAGAGACGGCCGAGAATGTAGAACGATGGCTCCAGGGCAAGGAGCTCTTGCACAGACTTGTGTAGCTGCTGTTTCATGCCTCAATATATAGTAGTACCTTCTTTCATTTCTTTCTCTTATTGGTAATCCCTTGTCTTGGGGAAAGAGACCGTTGGACTCATTTTCCGCTTTTCCCTTTCCGTTCTCCATCTTCCTCTTCCAGTGAGTGTGATTGAAGGCGTGTACGTACATTATATAGTTAATCTTATTTAAAGAGGTGGGGCTGGTTGTAAGAAGAGGGAAGAAACATTATTCAGTGAATACCTAGTGAGATGGACTGACATTCAAAGTAAAGCACTCAAACGAAGTTGATGCGGTTTGACCCCAAATATATCTTGTCTTCTTTTCGTCCGTTGGAAGAACCAGTATGGAGACTGGTTTTGCAATTCTTCCCGATAGTTGAGGATGAGCTATATGCGTTGCAATGACTCTTGAATACAGAACAGCTTCCTACAAGATGGAGCTAATGTCGATTAGATTGTTTGTCGAACTGGTCCAAAGGGTACAAGTAAATACCGAGAGAATGTCTTTTCGGTCAACTCAAGATTTCCTTTTAAATGCAAATTCCAGAACAATCTGCGCCCCCTTTTTTGGGATCACACGAATCCCACGGGTTATCATAACAATATTTATCCTCCGGACATTGAATATTGGCGATTCCACCGCACATCGGATAGGCAGAGCGATCATTTGGGATGCAGATTCCAGGTTGGCCCTGGACCTTCTTACGCTTTCGTGGATCACGCCCGCATTCAAATCCTCGTGGGCAGCCCCCAATGTGAGGACCGCATAGAGGATAGTCGTTTTTAAACCAGCACCGGCCGCCACATATGTTTAGGTCTTTGCAGCTTGGGGCGAGAGGGACGCAGTGGGCATCATAAGGACAGGTTCTTCCGAGGCCGCAGAATGTATCGGTTGCTTGGCTTGCCGCAAAGCCAAGCAAAGCGAGGCTAAATGACAAAGTAATCGTAGCCTTCATGATCTGATGTGGAGAGGTGATGATGATGATGAGTCGAGCATTTCTGGGGAAGGGGTATGGGGGTAAGTAGGAACCAGGTGCCAATTACATCCTTCGGATTGTCTCATTCTCATATATTACACGAGACAAGGTGGCGGTGTGGAATTGTTCAACATGGCACAGAACCATCCCTGAAGTTTCAAAATCTAAATCAAGTCGATACACTCCATTCCACTCGAGCAATCCAGACTCTTCTTTTCAAAGCCACCACAGCAGAACTTGGCTCTTCCAAATGTAGAGAAAAGAGCCACATACAAAGATGGAACAGCACATGGGCTAACCGAGTTTGCTAAGCCTCTAAGATTTAGTTGACTGTGAATTGAAAATGGACGTGTTCATTACAGCCCGTGGAAAGTTGGCTTTCTATGTCCACGGCGTAAGCCTTCGACCGCTATTCTCCCCAGCATACATGCCACTCTGATAATAAGAAAGCCATTTAAGCATGTCTCAATAACCTCGATACTGGATGGCAGCCTCGAGCCATGCCTCCCATGCCTAGTGCTTCCACACGGCGCGACAATATCACCCAATCTTGAGTTGATTCGCTGTGAAGTACAATACCAAAAGATCCTGGGACAATATTCTAATACCTAGAGTGGGAGTCATATTATCTTTGTTCTTATTGTCTGGGGTAGAACCCTTTATCTTCTGTTACAGCAGCCCTCTATCAGCGCCGTGATGAGTCTAGGACTCACTCTTACTGCATGGCTATTTCGCGCTGGGAGAGACATGCGGCCCCACAAGAACGGCACTATCACTCCAAACTTGATCGACGATGCGGCGGTGCGAGAAAGAACGACGGTTGGTAAGGGATGAATGTTGGTGAAGACAAAACATGACCAACCTGAGACAACGGTAAATGTCTGCAGCCCGATCGGCCCCGCCTGGAAACATGAACCATTATGGGGGCCAATTCCTAGATTCGACCCAGCCAATCTTTGCTGTCAGTCGGCTGACCATTCAAATCAATCATTAACACAGAGTACACTGGTCCTTCTGCAGCCCCTCTGTGGCTCTGGGCCCCTCACTTCAGCTACTGCAGCCCGAAGGCACATTGAATGGAGCTGTGTAATTTGGCGTTGACCCGAATTCCAAGACCACAGTGGAAAATCATACAATTGTCCCTATTGTCATCATGTGCTACCTACTGCTAAGGTTAATTTTGAGGATCTGTTAACTTCCCAGTTGGAGCGCGTAGTTGATGTTCTTTCCGCTTAGGTCCTTCATTTTGCTCTTACCTAGTCTAATAAAGGTAATCACTATCTTTTAGCCCGCCCACAACTCATAAATGAGCTGAACTGAGCTGCCCTGCATCGAGCCGAGCTGCTAGACCCTCCGCAGTAATTACTAGGCTCTCCTGTCAGCCTTAAACCCGTATCCAATCAATAAGCAAAAAGGGGCAACACAGCCATCTTCCCACTTGCAGATCAATTTTTCATTGCTACCGTTTACTCGCTGTCGGGGACCTGGAACCACCATGACGCCGATTGAGACTCTTCCCACCGAAGTCATCGCCTATATTGCGGAATTGACAACTCGAGATGAGGCGAGGTCGCTGCGGTCTCGCTTGAGGAATCACTCTAGATTTGCCCGCACCAATCGCCATTTCTATAACATCCTCAATCCTTTGCTATACCACATAAATCTCACCAAAGACGCCCTGCTCGACTCATGTGTTCTCTGGGGCGCTCAGTTCGGCAAGCTGCACACAATTAAAAGAGCGCATTCATATGGCGCGGATCTTAGCATGAATGGAGCGAGAGACAACAACGATCTGGTCGTGGGTTTCGACAGTATCCCTGGCCATCTGAGATTCCTCGCCTCGCCGCTCCATTTTGCCATTCAGAACGGGGACATGGCCATGTTCGACTACTTGATGGAGCATAATGTCGATCTCAACGTGCCCTCCAGGAGCTTTTGTTCTTGCGACGGCTATTATGATGGCCCGCGTATGTATCCGCTTCATACTGCTCTCGATCACAGTCGTATTGATGATGCTGCGGCCCTGCTCGTTGATAGAGGCGCATATCTTCTGAGCAAGGGCTCGCCGGCCATCTGCCACGCCAATTCCCTGGGACATGCGAAAATCGTCGAGAAGTTGCTTCAGCGGCCGGAGCCCCTGGCTATTGCCGGAGCCCTTCACTATGCCATCGAGAAAAAGGACCTGGGTCTGGTGCGAGAGTTGCTTGGACGACCAGGAGCAGATGCCACGGCCACGAACAACGATGGGCAAACCTGCCTCCACCTCGCCCTAGCTCAACCGTCGCCGATTGAACATGGCATTGTGTATTTGATCCTGGAACGGCCTGAGGTTGACGCATCGATCGTCGACAACCGGGGCGATTCGCCTCTGCATGTTTGTGCAGGCTCACCACATCTCTTGGAAATCGCAAAGCTCTTGCTAGCCCGGCCCGATACCAAAGCCTCAGCTAGGAACAACAACGGGATAATGCCCTTGCTGTGCGCGGCAAAAGCTGGCAACGTCTCCATGTTTCACCTTCTAGCGGGCCAGCCCGAGGCTGATCTCAAGGCAGTCGACAATAACGGCAGGACAGTGCTCCATATGGTATGCGGCGCCCCTGAAACTGAAGAGACGTTGGCCTTGGTTGGGTCACTCATAGATCGAGAGGTTCCGCTTAATCGAGTGTCACGCAAAGGCACCGCGCTGTACTGCGCGTTTGCTCAGCACAACTTCAAGACGGCACAGCTACTGCTCACCCGCGGTGCCGCAGCGGATTTAGAGGCGGACGGTGGCCATGCCAAGTCGCTTCTGCACCATTGCCTTGAAAAGCCCCATCCCCTACAGACTGAATTGGTCAAGGAGCTACTCGCTGGCAGCGTGGAGGTCGATGGACAGACCAATGAAGATCTGGCACGAGATCTAGGCGATGAGACTGCGTTTTCTTCGGGAGGTACGCCTCTTTTCTTCGCCGCAGCTGGTGCTAAGAACGTGGAATGCATGAAGATCCTTCTCGAAGCCGGGGCCGACGCCGAGGCGACAGTGGTGAGCAAGTCATGCTTTTATTATGACGGCTTGGAGATGTCGGAGAAACAAGGCTTTATTGCCGCGCTCTTTCGTCATACCTGGGTCGATGATCGCAAGGCCGAAATGGACGACGAGAGTGTCGAGGGGCTCAAGGAGCGACTTACGATTCTTCTTGAGCATGGTGCGACGATAGGCGGGGAGGGATATGGGATATCGGCGCTTGCGTTTGCTATGAAGCATGCGAGCGAGGGGAAACCAGCGCTTCTCAACTTCTTGGTGGAGAAGGCCACTGCGTCAAATATCCACCCAGATGACGTTCAGGAAGAAATCGATGACGAGGACTGTGAATATAGCGAGGATGTTGTGGAATCTGTTCGACGGTTCAAAGCAAAGCTTGTCGCGGAAGTTGGCGATGATGAGAATGATGAAGGTGAAGAAGAAGAGGACGAGGTGGAGGAAGGAGAAGAAAGTGAAGAAGATGCTGAGGAAAATCTCGAGGATAGGGACGAACTTTTGGAGATAAACGAGGATACTGATGGCGATGCTAGTATGGCGTTGAGCTAGATGTCATGTATGGATCCAAGCAGCGTACATATCTGAAGAAGAAGAAGAAGAACAACAACAAGAATGCCAATGAAATTCTCAAAAGAATCCCTGCTATTTCTGTTCTGTACAAGCGACATTCGCCATTTGGGGGCTATGGAATCAGGGTCAGGAAACATCTATATTTGACGATGTGTTGCACACCATCGTTTATTAGTCTATAAACAGTTGAGTCTATGATATCCCTATCAAACACTTCTAGGTAGAAATTACACAGTGTATCTGAAATCAGGATGGCCCTGAAGCACCTTCTCGCCACGGTCCGCCTTGGCGTTTTCCCTCTTGAAGTACCACGTGTTGAAACAGATGACGACAAGTGTCAGCATAGCGCAGCCAATAGAGGCGTACATTCCCGGGCGGTAGGCGGGAGCGTCCTGACTGCGGAACATGAGAGAGCCGGCGATACCACCGATACCACCTGTTCCGATGAGGGTGGCTGAAGAAAAGGCACGTTTCCATTGCCCACGGATATTGTTTGACTTCGAAGGTTAGCTGACAGCCGATAAACAGTGAGTGTGCCTAGTGATTCCTTACCTGATAAGTCATGCAAGCTGGGATGTTTGTGTTGAAACCGCAGCAGATGAGGAAAACACCGAAGTAAGCAACACCGGAGTTCTTAACAAAGCCCTGCAATAAATTGTCAGTAATCGGATTCCAGTGACGAATCCCTCGACAGAGCAAAGGACTTTCTGACGGTGCCTTGGGGAGGATCAGCCATCGTGTTTTTCTTGGGCGACTTACCATAAGGCAGAGCCCAACAGTGCCAACCAGTGTGTTGAAAATCATGATGGGCCCACGGATGCGATACTTGTCGCTAATCCAAGCAGTGAGATACATCCAGCAAGCTGCGGCGAAGTAAGGAGGTGCGATAAGGCACTGGGAGGCGGCAAGCGAGAAACCCATCTGGTTTCGCAGAATGATGGGCAGGAAGTAGGCGACGGCGTATGTAATGGCCGTCAAACCACTGTGGGAAGGTATGCAAATTAGTGTAGCTCTTGAAGTACTCGCGTATCTTGACTCACAAGAAGATGAGGGCATAGCCATAGACGAGGGGGTCTTTTCCTGAGGAAATCCACTTCTTGAAGTCCCAAGGCTCGTCTGCAGCGTCGCTTCTATCGACATCGATAGCCGCCATGACCAAGTCACACTCTTCCTTGGTAAGAAGACTGGATTTGAGGTAGGCTCGGTCAGGGAAATCGAGGATGGTGAAGAAGCTGATAATTGAGATAACAACCGTGAGCTGAGAATGCGTGTTAGTCCTCTCAAGCTTTGAATCAACGAAGGGGGATTCAAGGCTTACCAGGCCCTCAATGATGAAAATCCATCTCCAACCTCTTAGGCCGCCAACTCCTTCCTATCATCGCAACATTAGTGGTTGTCTTTAGGACCAAGAAAGACTCAGAACCCACCATCTGCATCAGTCCATAGGCAAGAATGCCTCCCAGACCAGAAGAGAAGAAACCAATGGCATAAAAGACAGTGATGCGCTTCTGAAGGTCATATCGCGTGTACCATGTGGAAATGAGATAGATGCAGCAAGGCAGAAACCCTCCCTCCAAGATTCCCAGGATGAATCTCAGCCCAGCCAAAGCCTGCCAGTTGTTGGGAAATCCGAATCCAATCTGTTTTCACGCCTGTTAGCCGAAATTTGGTGTTTCAATCGAGTCGTTAGAGTTTCTTCGTACCAACAAGATGCCCCATGCGAGAGTGATTCCAGGCAGAAAGAGCTTGGCTCCGAATTTTCGACAGGCAACAGTCGCGGGAGGTTCGAACAGAATGAAGGAGATGAAGAATACGAGGGCAATCAAAGACTAAATTCGCTTCTGTTAGCTTATATTCTTGCCTTGTGATGGTGGCTTCTCCACGCAAAATCGGCACTCACATAACGATATCCAACATCAAGCCCAAGGTCGACAGACATGCCAGCAATGTTGGCAGACCCGATGTTGGTCCGGTCAATGAGACTGACGCAGTACATGAATCCAGTAGTAATGATCAGTCGTCGATCAATGCGCCGGATGATGTTGCGGTAGGCCGCTGACGATATGATGTCGCCTCCATTCTCTTCGAGGCTGGCGTCCTTGAGGCTGGATGGAGGCGCCAATTCGCTGACAACGGCCGCGTCCGCCTTGGATTCAGCCATCTTGGGGGATTCCGGCGCGTGTGTCATGTCGGGAGGGCTGAAATGGGTCAACAAGAGACGTCTGAAGAAGAATTTTCTAGGGGCAGAGGCTAAGGAACAGAGACGACGGTGGCCAGATTCATATATGACAAGGGAGTATCCGTCCCTGGAGCTAAACTCTACCCATTTAAGCTATTGATGTGTCACAAAACCAAACCCCGTCCGATAAGGGGGAGAAAGTTGGGGAGAGGGTTGAGAGCGGTCCGCGACGAGAGCCAATTCGTCCCCGTCGCGTATGTGGAGATGATGGAGAAGGCCCACGGCAATGAACGAGCTCGTCTCTGTACCAGGATGGCGGTTGTACTCCATAGTTCATACCCCTTCCCATTGGATTTCATCATGACCAAATCCCCGTGGGGAATCTGCAACAGACTGTCTGTGCATGACTTCTTGCCTTTTCCAGGCATTCAATTGATCGAAAATCAGCATTGATCACGCCTTTCAAGTAAACAGTACGTAACGTTTCTCCAACACGACTCAAAAGCTGGGGCTATCCAGAGACAGGGGAGTCAGCGGGAGGTGTTTTGCTGGTGCCCACCACGTTGGGGAGTTTGATTACCTTCCATAACAGGCAAGGAATCAAATTCTCCGTCGCCGGCGACTCGGATCAACTTGAGCCTCACCGGCTAACGAAACGAACCAGGAGATCCACTGGCAATGCCAAAATGACTCGCATGTACGAGAGCCATGCGCAATCAAAACTCCCCCGCCATCTCACTCTTATCCTGGATCCATGGCTTTGTTATTCATTAGTCGAAAAGACATGTCATCTTTCCACGTTCCTCCGATGTTATGTAACAGAATCCATTCCCCCGTGATCGGCTTGTCATGGACCCTTGATTATTAACTTCGGGACCAAGATTTGGCGTAGTCGGAGATGGGGTTCCCCCACATACGATAGCACTCAGTTCTGTATCCGGAAAGGAATCTAACTCCCATCTGTTCCTCCCACACAAACCTCATCACGGACGGCACCATGCCGCGAGCAAAGACAGGCCAGGTACGGGGCAAACCACGCGGCATCAGGCACGACAGAGACTGCAGCAACTGCAAGACCCGCGGTGTCAAGTGCGACCTCAACCGGCCCCGATGTCTCCCCTGTGTCCAGGCTGATCTCGCTTGCGGCGGCTGGCCCCAGCGGGTTGTCTGGACGAGCGGGAATACCTCGTCGACAGACAAACAACTCCCAAACATACCGAATGGTGCGCAGCGCCGGCGCATGGCACCTAGGCGTCAAGAACCACTGTCGCCATTGGATGGTTCCATGTCAGTGATCTCGTTCGCACCAAATCCACTATCAGCGGAAGCAGAGAGAGACGAAGGAGCTCCGACATCGTTTCACGCTCAGCGTGGACCTTCCCATACCCCAGATGAACCGAGCATGCCCCCTGCCGAGCAATACGGACTTGCTCAGCGTCTATTGACTTTCTGTCGAAACGCCAAGCCAGCGGATTACTCTCCTAGCACCGCTGTTGAGGGAGATGATCACACGGTATCCGCAGACCGGGTGACCAGGCTCGTGTCTCGAATCGACGAGTTCCTCCAAGCGCGCATGAAGACCTACGCCAGCACATCGTTCGCGCCCCTTCCACCGACCCCGTCCTCTCTCGACGGGAGACAGCCGTCGCCCCCACTGCTGCTGCCGCCGCCGCCGCCGAGACAGGACGACGGGGAGGCGTCTGAACTCCACCGCCTCGCCGCCCTGGCGAGCCTGAGCGAGGCCCTCGACACAGCTGACCCGGTCGCTTTTGTGGGGATCGCCGTCTTTGCCTTCTTCGAGGTCGTCTCGGACGCCGCGTTTGGCGAGTGGCAGACCCATCTGCGCGGCGCGCGCTCGCTGCTGGACTACCACTGCCGCAGCCGGGAGGAGCTCGACTCCCTCTCGCGCCGGGTCAACGGGCTTAGCGAGATCCTCGGATATTTTGCCTGGTGGGATGTCATAGGGATCAATATCAGGAGGCTCAGCGGGCGGCATTCGAGCCAGGACGACGAGCCCATCTTCCTTGATTGGCATCGTGGCGTGGTGGGTGATGAGTTCTTTGGCACGGTCGGATGTCCACCTGATACTTTTCAGGTATTTGCACTCCTCGCGGATACATCTTTGTTAAGAGACAAGGGCCCAGGCAGTCCGCAGGTTGAACTGGATACATATGTGCAGGCTATGGGCCAGCTTCTACGTCTAGGATCAGATGGTACGGATCAGGGGAAATGCGGCGATGCTTGGAGATGCGCAGCGGCGGTGGCAGTCCTCACCTGGCAACAGCAAAGCGTAGATGGGAGGGACAAAACTACATGCACACAGGGGCCTCGGCAGACGACGTTGGATGCCGCCGTGGACAGGATCTGCGAACTGATCGCCTCTGCATCGCCGGCGTCCAGGTTCTACATCCACATGGCCACGGCGGCTTTCTGTGCGGGGATCAACACGCGCTTTGTGCGGCACTGCGAGGTGTTGCGGAATTACTGGAAGGGCTGTAGGATAGGGGAGCATCCTCGCTACTGGGGGGCGTATACAGAGTGCGAGGAGAGATGGAGGAGAAAGGAGTTATCATAGCAATCGCCCAAGAAGATGACGAACACATGTACAAGTAGTAAGAATACTCACGTAATTAGAGTGCAATACTTCCAACACATTAACGATGTCGGAATGCATCGCTGGGACCTGCTCTATTGAACCGGACACCCATATCATATCACAGCTGAAGACAGGCAAAATGCAACGTGATAAGAGGCGGCTACGGCACGCCATATCACCACGAGACCAACTGGTGTTGGGTTTCCTGAATAGGAAAGCAATCTATTCCGCTGGTTTATCGGTGGTTCGGCTTCTCCACCACAGATAGCACCAGCTGGCTGCCAGCGTCGTTGCTTAAAGATAGCAGCCAGCCGTCCATCCACACATCATCCAGAGCCTCTCCTAGCACCCAGATCGCATAGACAGAGAGACTCGCTCGCCAGGCATCATGAACATCGGAGCAACCAAAGTCGCACACGGGCTCGCCACGCCCCCCGAGCCGCTGTCCAAGGACTACCTGGAGCGAGCTGCCGACAAGCGCGCTGAGCAGGCCGCCAAGATCCCTGAAGAATGGCGCCTGGAGCCCGTCCCTTCAGTGGAGAGCGCCCCCAATGCGCTCGAGTACATCCGCTCCTCGGGCGTCCTCAGCGCCGAGGAGCTTGCCATCACCGAGACTGTCGACGTGGCAGATCTCGCCCAGAAACTCGCGGCCGGCGCTCTGTCGTCCGTCCAGGTCGTCGGCGCGTTCTCCAAGCGTGCGGCCGTGGCCCATCAATTGACCACGTGCTGCACCGAGATCTTCTTCGAGGAGGCGTTGGAGGAGGCAAAGCGGCTGGACGACGTTTTGGCAAGGACGGGGAAGCCGGTTGGTCCGCTGCACGGAATCCCCGTCTCAGTGAAGGACTCGATTAATGTCAAGGGCCACGACACTTCGATTGGTGAGTCAAGACAGCGGCGGTTGTGCCTTCATCAGCTAAATCATTGTTTGTTGCAGGATGGGTTGGATTGACCGACAGGCCTGCTGAGCGAGATGCCGGAATCACCACGATGTTGCGCAGGCTGGGTGCTGTCCTCTACGTCAAGACCAACATCCCCCAGTCTCTAATGGTGAGAAGAATCCCAAGCAGAGCCATCAGTCTACGCCTTTCTAACCCAGTGGCTGTTTAGATGTCTGATTCATACAACCACCTCTTCGGGCAGTGCGTAAACCATCTCAACCGGAATCTCATTTCTGGTGGCAGCAGTGGAGGCGAGTCAGCTCTTATCGGAGCTCGCGGAAGCCCTGTGGGAGTAGGAACCGATATTGGCGGTTCCATCCGAATTCCCGCAGCGCTGTCTGGCCTCTACGGTCTCTCGCCTACCTATGCTCGCCACCCATATGAGAGGCCAGGGTAAGTCCATTCTCCCTCATACAGAATTCAGGTTTCTTCGAGGGAGCCCTGTTAACACTCGTTCTCAAACAGACCCAGGCAAAGGATTATTATCGCTACTGCTGGTCCTCTGGCATCCAGCCTCTCCTCGATCGAGTCCTACATGGAGGCACTGCCCCAGGCAAACCCGTGGGAACTCGACAACCTCGTCGTGCCTGTACCCTGGCGCACCGAGCAGTGCACAATTAGCCCGCCGGGGCGCAAGCTGAAAATCGGCTACATTCTCGATGACGGCATCGTTAGACCGCAGCCGCCCATTACCAGAGCCTTGAAGGAAGTGATTGCTGCGTTACAGGAAGCAGGACACGAAGGTATGACTTATGACATGCAAATTTTGGGATGAGCAATGTCTGACTCTTTTAGTATCTGAATGGGACACTTCATCACATAACTACGCTTGGGAGTTGTGGAAGAAGGGTGTCATGTCCGACGGCGGCTTGGGTTGCAAGAGACTGTGCGACATGTCTGGGGAGCCTCTCGTAGAAGGAATGTTGGTTGGCACCTCGGAAGATCTTCTTAGCACAGAGGAAACTCATCAGGTAAGCTTTATGTGGTTTTTCAGCTTTTTCTTTCAACTCAGACACTAATCTAGGCATCGCCTTTGAAGCTCATGGCAGACATCGATGCCTACAGGGCCGAGTATCTCCGTCACTGGAACGAGGGTGGCTATGATGCCATTATTACCCCTGTTACTCCTTGGGTAGGATACAAACCTTGGACCTGGGTAAAGTCCAACCAGTATGTGGGATACACCACCCTCTCCAATCTACTGGACTGGGCAGGTCTCGCTATTCCTGTCACCACCGTTTCCAAGGAGAAGGATCAAACACCACCATCAGACTGGGTAGAGTATCAGCCCCGAAACCCTTCAGATGAATTTAACAAGCAGCAATGTAAGTTGAGCGCTACCCTTTACAGCTCTGTGAGAATATAACGTTCTAACCACTCTACGTTAGATGATTTTAACCTAGTGGAGGGGATACCAATCGGTCTACAGATTATGGCTGGAAAGTATGGCGATGAGAAATGTATCGCCGTGGCCA